GCTTCGGATTTCATTGGTTCCGACAATCGGACATCATTGGAAATACGACTGTCGGATTTGATATTGATTCCTCAACCAGGAATCCAATGGGATTTCGTCGGATGGTAGGACCCCATAGAATCCGATGGGATTCGGTATCGGATTGATTCACCTGGGAATAATAGCAGTTCAAATTGAAACGCTATTATGCAAATCGATACTGATATCTTTAATCTATGTTGCACCAACAACTAAGATTGATATGAATATCTTCCAAGAACTATACAACATCAACAACAACTGCATTATTGTAGGTGATCTCAATGCAAAATTATCTGAAATGGGACCAATGAAGACAAATGCAAGAGGAAAACAGTTGCAAGAACTACTTAATGAAGGTCTTATCGAATGTGTCAACGATGATAGTACAACATTTGAAAAAATGAATATGAAGCCAAATTAGATTGGATATTAGAGGAAGTCAGCTACTCCTATCATTCATAACAAATGTTGAAACACACCCAACCATCGGCACAATAAATGGTCATAAACCATTAACATTCGATATCCAAATTGGAGCTGAACCAAAACCAACTTCTCCAAGACTATCACTTAATTTTAAAGAAGCAAAATGGACTAAGGTCAGATCCAAATTAGATCATCAACTAATACTATGGAATAATGATCTTAGTTTAAATTCACCTTTAGACATAGAAGATTATCAATGTTTATTACCGATAGTATTATGTTAGCAACTAAAGAAGCCGTTCCAACACCTACACCAACGAGCAAAATTTATGCATTAAGTGAAGCATCCAAGCGCTTGATGACACTGAAACATCAAGCATATCGAAGATGGAAGAGGACTGGAGACAATACAGGCAAACGTCAGTATTACTATTACAACTCCAAAATCTTACTAACAAACTCACTTAGAAATGACAAAAGAGACAACCTTAACAAGTTAATGTCGTCTTTGTGTCTCTTTTTGTTTCTTTTCTTTTTCAGCTTTTTTTGATAATACTGTATGTTGTTTTGTTTATGTTTTGCTTTTCTGTTATGTGCAGGTATTGTCATTTTTTCATCAATAAAAGCGATGTAACCAAAAAAAAGCAGAGACACAATCGAATCAATTGAACATAAAATAAATATGACTCACTTCAAATCACACTCATTGGATAATAATGCTTGCACACGAAAGAATACTCCATATATAAACTTGTCAATCAACGTCATGCTTGGGAATCTCCAACGAAAGAAATGGAAAAAAACTACAGTGATCATGCTTTCACTTGTTTACATCTTTTTGGCCAACGTGTTTCCTTTTTTGTATCATTTTATCTTCGAGACAAAAAGTCAAAATTAGCTGATAGAAAAGGGTGTAGATTACTGGACCCAGAGAAGAAACGCCTGAACTTGAGGATGTTAGTGAGGATGTTACATATTATCTTCATCTCGCCCACACCCTACCAATACTGAACAAATCCACGAAAATAAATATCTAAACCTGAAATAAGTTGACCTTTTAAAAATAGAATTGATTCAACTGTCGTAAGCTGTGTTCTTCGTTCTCTTTTATCTCTTTTTAACTTCTTCTGCAAATATTTATTTCTCTTATGTAATTTCATCACTTGCTTTCGTTTCGTGCCAACAATGGCAACTTTTGATTGTTTAACTACTGAGTTACTACTTGAAATCTTCGATTATTTGTCGTTTACTGACATATTCCGTGCATTTTTTAATCTTCAACAACGTATCAATGATGTTATTCAAACCTATCCAGTATGTATCGATCTAACACAGACAACTGATCAGAATGCGCTTGTCTATGGTCCTTTTCTTTGTCGTGCATTAATAATAGCATGCGATGACTCACTAGAAAATGAAATAAACGCTTTACCGTTGAATTTTGGAGTCATTCGAGCACTTGAATTTAAGTATGGTAATTCTACTATGCTTCTATCAATTTTTGATCAATTACCAATATCACAACTTGAATCGATCACGATTGATAATTTTGACAACGAAAATAGTTCTGTAAACATTGATCAACAAATCTGGTCAACAATTGCAATAGCTGGTCAAAATAAACTTCGTTATTTGCGTGCATCTCTCCCGATTATTAGAGAAGACACTGAACAACTCTTGTTCGATTTACCCAGCTTAAAATGCGCCATTCTTAATCATGTGTCTGCCGAAGAAGTGTTGAGATTTATTCTTCATACACCTAATCTCTGTTCTTTGACGAGCAGTGTTGCTGTCTGGAACATTCATAATTATGAACCTAGTTTTACTCTGAGTAATTTTCGTCATCTTGACTTGCGCATCAAAGGTTGCAATTCATTTGAAAGACTCGGTCAAATTTTTTCTGTCTGTCCTTATCTAACTCATTTGATACTTCGATTTTGGATTACAGAAAGTAATGTTTTCATGGTTGATGGAACACAATGGCAAACATTAGTGGAGCAATATTTACCTTGCCTTGCGTACCTAAAAGTACGACTATTCAGATATGAGAGACTAATGGATGATCCTAATTTTGACGATACATTCAATCTATCTGAATATTGGTTCAGACGAAAACCAGAGTTTGACATAAAGGTATGGTGAACATCAGACGACTTGAGTTAGCTGCTATTTTTGTGAAAAATTTTTAGCTTTGATAAAAATAATGCTAGATAAAAATTTTTGAAATACTCAAAATCATATTTTAGCTGATTTTTCACATAAATCGAAACTAAAAAGCTGCCGAGTTCTTATTCAAATTTTTAATTATTCAGTAAGACACTTCATGTTGCATAGATTGAGTTTTCGTCAAAACTAACAATCTAGACTGTTAGTGAGTTTCTTTAGGAAACGTTTTGAAAAATACAGAAAACGTTTACTAATATTAATAAAATACTTATTTCTCAACAATTTAACATATTTCCGATCACTTATATCGTTTAATGTGTTACATTTACATACACTGTTGAAATCTGATTTATTTTAGTATATGGAAGTCTAACAACTGTCTATCATTGGTTGAACTCATAAAAACTTTTACGAAAAATCGATGAATAAGATTTGGTCTCATGATCATACCAAGAATATTTGTACATAATTAATTTTGAAGAATCATCTATTCGTCATTTCGTTTTTTTTCTCATCATTCTCATCGATATTGTTGTCTACCATGAAAAATTAATTAAACAATAATCATGAAACAGGATTCTACAGTCACAATTTAAGCTGGCAAATTAATCTATTCGAAAAATAACCACAATGGAATTATTATATACGAGTTATTAATCGAGAGTTTTTCTTATAAAAAAAAATTATAGATTTTTTATTTCAATTTATTGAAGAAGATGAATGCTACTTGTCAGAAATGAAAAGATCATTTTAATATAAATTCAAATGCTTAATGGTAAGTTTTGAATAATCATTTATTGAAAATTTTAATTAACAGAAAATTTACTATATAACAATAAAAAGGTAATAATTACGGCATGGTACAGAAATTTTTTCTGATTCAATCGCTGAAGAATAATTGTCAGATAATGAACAGTTGACTATGAAGAGAGAAAAATTTGAAAAGGGAAATATTTTATTTTCCTTAAATTTTTAAAACGATGCAAATAGTTCAACTATGCTGAATAGTAGTAACTGAAGATCACGGATAATAAAAACTCATGCAAAGTAGTAGTAAATACTGAATTTAGGGAATAATAATACAGTACTTACGGTTTTTATTTACCCAGTTAGGCTTAAAAAAATGATAGTACATTGACACTAGTAATATGCATAATTATATTAAACATTACTAATAGACTAATATTATATAACTATTAATATTAACCAGTGGAAAAACTGATTTCATTGATTATCAATGATTTTGATACTATAGAATCAGGTGTTTGCTCCTTGTCTTATACTGAATAAACAAAAATCTAATATAAAATTCATGCTCAACATGGAAAGCTGGCTCCAACTGGTTTCAAATGGTTATATTGCTTCTGCCTGATACCAACGATTTTATAATCACAAAATTAACCTTTTCCCTTTGACTAATCGTCTTTTTCCAATGGTAATCTTTTGTACGCGTTAGTTTTTCATCTATCTGTATGAAACACAGATAGAAGCCCCACAACGTTGTCAAGATGAATGAAGCGCTAGGGGATATGATAATACAATGTCTTAACAGAGTAGTAAAACTTCATGATTTTGCCTACTCCAACCAGTACTATGCAACCAAAGTATGAATGACATTCAACCAGCCGGGGTAGTATGTTATACGTAATTAACATCAACAGTGAACTAAAACATGAATGTACATTTATACGTAGAGTTGTGTTTCATAAAATACAATATCCAACAATGTCAAATAAAATTCCAGTCCTATGGAGATTTTTCAATACTATCAATCTAGTTCATTGTATCTGTTTATCATTCATCAATAAACAGTTGATACGTCAGATTTCTTGAAAGAATTTTGATAATCTTAAATGCTATATTCAATTGTACGTGTATCTTTTCTTCTGGTTTTCAATGAGTAAGATAAAATGAAAAAGAGTATAATGCTGGCAATAAAGGTGCTGAACGATAAAAGAATATTGAAATATTCTTTAAAATAAAGCAATAGCTTTTCTTTTACTTTTTCAGATCATTCTCATCAACAGTTTGCTATTTGTATGTGTAATGTAATGAGTAACTTAGTTGAAGTACTGTTCACAGCTAGCAGCGGTATATTTTAGATATAAAAGAGAATGATCGTAATTTGTAATCAAAATACATTGATTTCAATCATTTTATAAACAAGTTATGTCAAAGTAAGGCAAGAGAATGATTTATTAACTAAAGGATGTAAATAATTTGATTGCTAGATGAACAAACATGTACTGATATTATAGATAGAATGAGTATCATGAAAATACCATAGTGAGCTATTAATTTTTCAAACTTGCCATCGATTTAATCGTTTAGATGTGAATCAGTTTTATTAATTTCTTAATAAATACTTCTTTATAACTGGCAAAAAATCAAAATAAAACATTATTTCACATGTGTTTGCACTTTTTTTGTTGTTTGAACACGAAAACACTTTCGAACACATTCTGTTTAATGTATAATTCTTAAGAACTCATTTTGTTACTTGAATTTTAAGTCTTTTCTTTTGATCTCCTTGGATTTATTATACTAATTTAAATCGTGATTGCTATTACTATATTACATAAAAGTATTAATGATCTCATCATTGGAAAATATCGAATCGTTTCTACTTTTGTAAGATTAGATTTGTCCAGATGAATCAATTCACAGAAATACTTTTTGATCTTTTCCAAGGATGCATGGAATTTCGGTATAATATATGTATATGCATTAATCATTTACCCTACTAAATCTACCTCTGCTAATTTTAAATATAATCTCAACGGCTAATAATTTACATAACTTTCTATTTTATATAACTTAAATGAAAGAATCTTGTGAAAAAATAAAGATATCGCAAATGTTCAATTGAAATATTTATTTAAATGATATATCACACAGTAAATCAATCATTTCTTTTAAAAACAAGAAAAGTTACTGTTTTTCCTTGTCTTCCACCAAACGACATTGTTGGTGTTTCGATTTCACATTCTAATGAAAATTCTAAAAAATATAATTTGTTGCATTATTTTTACAAACAGAGAAAAAGAAAAGAAAATATACTTGGCTGAAAAAATTCTAATAATTCATTTCGTGTCCAATTACATGAAATTAGAAATAATAGATTTTTGATGTGTCGATGAACTGTAGCTACGTAGGCTTCACGCTTTGCTTTTCGTTGATCTGATGAACATAAAAGTATAGCATCTAATGTTCCTTTATCAATACCAATGTCAAAATGATCAAGTAATGATGTATCGGATGCAGTCATATCAATCACTTGAAATTGAATATTCGATCCAATTTGTGTACGAGCTAATTCAATAGATTTTTCAGAATAATCAATACCAGTCAAATGAACATAACCACGACTTAATAAACGTTGAATTACATGACCGTTTCCTAATTAAACCTTTATTTTCAGTAGAGAAAAAAAACAGAATCTCTATTAACCTGTGCCAATATCTAAAATGGTTGTTGTTTCTTTATCAATTACTAATCGACATACGGCATCGACAAGTTTAGTCAAAATATATTTACCGAACCTGAAAACATTTCTGTAGAAAAAATTCGAATAAAAGTTTAAATTAACTTACCAAATTTCTCCCTCATCACCAAATTCATTAAAATTATTTAATTCTCCTTCATATAACGTATCCCAACTATAGATGATGTATACAGTAGTTCATGTTGACAATCGATATAGCTTCTGTTACTCACTATTCTTTTGTTCCAATTACTGATTCATCTTCTTCTTCGCTCGACATTTAGTTGATTATAATCTTCAATAGAGAGACAAACACAACAGAACTACTTTGCACTAAAACTCATTTATTTTTCTAATCAACGAAAAAATGTTTATTCCCATTTTTTATACCAAGATACACGATCTAGCAAATCACGTTTTAAATAAATATGTTCAGGTATTTCTTCCTGCCGTCGTTTTAATGCTAAAGCTTTTTCTTCACGTTCTTTGCGTATTGGATCATTTTCATATAGATTATCTTCTTCCTTAATAGAAAATTATTTCTTTTTAAACGATAAAAATGTTGTTTTTATCAACGTACTTCAGTAAGATATGGTCGACTAAGATGAGCCATATTTTCTAATTCAATTTCAATTTTTCGTTGCATATCAAGTTTTTCACTTTCGCTTAACGTACGTCGAACACGATGTTTTCTTGTGAAAAAATAAATATAGAATTTACTTCAAAGAATTTAAACAAACTTACCCAAGCAATACATTTCCTGGTATGCGTCGTGTAGGCACATAATTACTAAATCGAAATTGTGAAACTTGTTTAAGTAAAACAATTGACAAGCGCATCTTAAAAAAGAAATAAAAATGACTCCTTTGCTTTCGACTTTCACAGCGATAATTTATTTTTATTTTATTTTATTTTTAAGAAAAAAAAAAGGCTTGATTAATCTTCTTTAGATGTTCTATGATGAAGAGCGTCATTATTCGATCTTTCTTTCTCTTGGCGATGCCCATATTGATGAAATGATCGTGCTCGTCGGTGATAATTTGTTGATAAAAATGTTTTTAAACTTTGATATTTTTCTTTTAGTATTATTGGCGGAGGTTTTTCGCGTAATTTTTCACGTAAAACACTTAATGTTGTTAATATATTTCCCAAAAATAGGAGAAAGAATATTATGGCTAATACCAGTACTTGCCATTCATGTGTTGTTGGTACGTGTGCTAGTTGCCATAATGCATATGCGTTATATAACTGAAATAAATAGCCAACGAGGAGGAATGGAACCAAAAATGAGAGACCACCTTAAAAAGAAACAAATCAAACGAGGTTAAATTTTTTCTTTTTAAATTTTTTTTTCAATAGCATAAGTATGAGAAATCTCTGCAGTTTTCAAGTTGCTAGGATCTTCGCCGTATGTTACGCCTATATAAAATTCAAAATACCGACGATAAGTCTTATTTGAAAGGTTGATGTTAAATTTTGACAATATTATTTCATAATGGTTTTATTTTCAGTTATTAATTCTTGTCTCTTATATGATCAGGACGATTGGCATTACTTTTCACCGATAAGAAATCGATTCTGCAATTTGCTCAATTAAAGACGGTTACAATGTAATGAAACCTCATTGATGATTAAACTGTTTTTGTTTCAACTAGTGTTAAAATCAAATCTGAACGTTGAACAGCAAGAAAAGAGAAGAATCAATCAAAACGATATGAATGCAAGCTAGCATTTTGTTTCAAATTTCCTACTTTTGCTTCTTATTGAATCTATTAGAATGTTCAAAATTATTTGTGCAAACCTGCTCTCTGATAAGTGCATGACCTATAAAGCTGTTAACTAGAAGTCTGTTGAAACATTATATGTAGAGTTATTTTTACCAAACTAGAGTTCACGTTTCATGAATGACGTTAGAAGTAAGAATCCGATGAAAATTTATGCATCGAAGTCAAGTATATTGAATTTTTATGCTAAACAAAAATTTTCTTTTTTGACTTACGAAACATCCATCGATGAAAACCTTCGATAGTTATATCCATATCATGCGTTTCACCTAATGCTCTTAACCGATAGAGACAACCGCGTTGATAGTAAAACTGAAGACCCTAATAATAAATAATAAACGATGAAATCGTATTTCTCTCATAGTAAGAATTTATTTACCTGAACAAAACTCAAGTAAAATGAGAAAACGAAGAATTGTGTACGAAATGTATGGTAAGATTGAGATTCAGGCCATGTTAATAGAATGCCTGTCGCAACCGTTGCTATAAAGTGATGCGCTCGCCACCAAGCTAAAACAAGAAAAAAACAAGAAAATTCTTCCTGTTTCTCGAATAACTCCGTGGACTGTTTATTTTAACGGGGTTCTCTCTTAAAGATTTCACATTTATTTCTCTACGGAATTGCTAAGTTCGATTAGACCTGAATAGATATTAGTTAGATTAAGACAATGACCCATTTAAGGGTGATATTTTTCGAAGAAACAAGTGTTCTCGCAGTTTCCATCAGATTACATTCGTCTGAGATAAATTTATGTAAAGGTTATAAATTTGACATAGAAATTTACGATTAAGCACAACAAGGAAAAAATATTTTAAAAACTATGACAATTAACTTCATTATTTGTGTACTCTATTGATAAGGTTGCATTGAAATATCTATCGACGACGTGTAAATGGAGAAACTCGATGGTTTCATTCAGAACTTGATTTGTATAAATTTAGATATTTCGGTAAGGCATTCTTACTCCGAAATTTAATCTTTATGAAACTACTTGCACCCAACTAGAAAAAGTAAGTAAACTAAATTTACGATTAATATTTGATCCGTTGACAATTAGAATTGACTCTCGTATTGTCAATGTACAATAATACCAAACCAATAAGAAATGAAATAATGCATCGAATGCACGATAACGTGATGTTAATGACCAAATAACAAGTGATGATACTAATGAAATACATGTAACAATAAATTTAAATTGCTCATACTCCTGTTTATATGTCCATTTGTCGGCTTTATTTAATATTGATACATCAACACCGCCAAGAATTACTTTCAAATATGGATTTTTACGTGGTAATGTATCGGCGACTCGAGATAAATATAATGAATTGGTATGAACTTGTTCTGAGATAATATTGAGACGTTCAAGAGATGATAATGTACTAACAAGTTTATCCAATGATGGAGAAGAATTAACTGATGCTAATGGACGTGATGTAGCTGTTGACGATGATACGAGCGAAGACTTTCTTTGTTCGAGATCAGCAGTTGATTGCGAACTTTTCAAATTTGATACAGTCGGATTTGGAACATTCTTTTTTATTATTTCGTCTAAATAGAGCAGTAGCATTTTATTTTCACAGAGATGGAAAAAAAGATCATATAGTCAAGTTTCAAAACAAAAAATTCAAATGACAATCTAACTCATAGACGAGTATAATAATCAATTCATTTTCAATACCTTTTTTAGTGTATGTCTTTTTCAGTTCCACTATATTTTGTTGTACTTGATCAATTTTTTTCTTGTACTTTTCATATTCCGCGTGATATTTCTTTTTTAATGATTCAACTTCATCTAATTTTCCGACGTATTCTTTGTGTTTTGGTTCAAATGAACGTAATTCAGCATCTAATTCTAACCAATCATCATATAATTTACTGAAAGATTTATCATCCAATGTTTCAGCTGTTGCTATTGGTGGTGGAGAAGGATTTTCATTAGTTGAACTTGCAGGAACCGACATCGTTGGGCCATTTTCATCATCTTCTTCTGAACTTACAACATCAAAATGTTGTGTCGTTGGTTGACGATTCTTTTCATCTTCCGTATTAAGTGTTATATCACTCGTCATTGTTTTCTTTCTAAAACAGTAAATCTAACATCTGAAAGATTGAAAAGACAAGTAAATTCAATCATAAATAAGATATTTATTTCATTTCCACGACTTCTACTTATTTTTAAGAAAACAAAAATGACAAAATTACTCAAGTAACGTACAATAGGCAATTTTTCTAATGTTACTAAAAAGTAAAAGAAATCTAGATGTGATTATTGCTGTCAATATATGATCATCTCTGTTAAATTTATTTTTACTTTGCTAATATTTGGTGAATAATACGATTAAATAGAAAAAATAATTAGTTTTATATATTTATAAAATACAGATACGACCATTTGATTACTCAACATGTCTATGAGCTCATCGCGAAAATGTTGTTTCAATGAAACGTGAAAAAGTTTTCTGGTAGGCATAGATCTAACTATGAATCTATTTAATATTGTCGAAAGATTAAAATCTATCATAGAAATTAAGAATATAAAATTTTATGCATAACATCTCATCTACAGATCAACTAAAATTTTCAATTGGTCACATACGTAGGGAGTACCTGATATGGATGAAACATGACTCGTGTATACATCTGATTGTATCTACAAAGAGATAGACTGATAACTCTCCACTGTCATTGCTTGTTATTAAAGGTAATTCTTTTCTTCTTCTTCTTTTCTTTTTATACAAATGTGAAGTATTAGCATAAAATCTGATTTAATGTTATAAAATTCTATATGCATATACAAAGTTTTAATGTTGAACTTCGAATAGTAACAAATAATTTATAGATAAACCAATACGTGAATGAAAAACCTCGAAAATTTCTTTCTTTCTCACACAATCATATCCTTAGTATATTAGGACATACCATAGTGTATAGGATGAGAAATGTTAAGCTAGGATAATGTTACATGTATATAGTTGTCATTTCTCTGCTTGCTATAGATTCGTTTATGTTCCATTAGTCACAATAGTAAGCACTATAAAAATTTTATCATCATAAACTGTAGTTTTTCATTTCTATATCTATTGCACTAAAAGGCATATTGTGAACTTTCATGTTAGTAAAATATACTTAATCCTTCTTGAAGAAACAGCGGATGTCTAGCCGAAACGAAGCCACCTCAGGTATATCCATCACTACTAAATTCACTCAAAACTAACTACAGATTTAACTCAAAGTGCGCTTCAAATATCTAAGTTTTTTTAAAATATGATATTATCATAGAGAAAAAATTCCTTTAACATATTATCGTTAAATATAAAAGAATCTGAAAAATAAAACAAAGAATGAAACATAAATTCTTTTGTCATTCCTCTGTTCTTCTTTTTTTTATTCTTATAAATGATGTTCCATAAATATGTTACTAAGAATAACAATGAAATACTAATACTCAATCGACCACTGGAACAACTGTAGTATGTGCTTGTGATTGTTGTGTTTGATAATTGCTCCAATTAGCCTAGAATAAATAAAAAATAAAATTTGAAAAAATAAAATAAGTTGACAATAGTTTTTAATTTACGTTTGTATCTCGTTTTTTCTCACTATTTTGTGCCAACATTTGTGTTCTATTAAATAAATTCTTTGTTTTTTCAATAACTGTTTGATATGGTGACAGAGCTTGAGAACCCATAACTACGATGCCCTTTTGTGAATCAATTCTAGCATCTAAACTTGCATTACGTATTAAATTAACAATCCACCTTTCAGCTTCTTCTGCACCCATATTTAATTTTTCTGCTAACATACTAAAAATAACATTAATCATGAGTGAAAGAACTACATTTAAAAAAATAAACTTTACTCAATTGTAATGCAATGATGAATACGACAAAATGTTTCGAATATAAGTAAACGAGCATTTTCCATAAATTCATCAGTACAACCAATAAGAAAAAAATCATTATTCAACACGGCTGTACAATCGCGTAATTTTTGTTGTGCACCATCAAAATCAAAATGCACATAGAGACATTCAAGAAATTCAGTTATTGGATCACGAAATGCATACGATTCCTAATAGTAATAAGAAAAAATATACTTTAGTATAATTATTTGTTTTCCTTCGAATAGATTTTTTTCAAACAACCTGTTGAATAACTTTCACGAGTTCTTTTAATGTTCTCTCATTTTTTTTTCTTGGATTGATAATAACAGCTGCAGCTAAATAACGTAATAAATGAGGTGATGCTGTTTGCAATGTATTTAAATAAGCATTCGTTTGATTTGTCGATGATGTTGCTGAGCCGAGAAACAATTGCACAAGATCATCACGTCCTTTTGGATGATTGAAATACACAAATAATGACCAATGAATAAACCATGTACGTTGATGTAATAAATCTAATGGTGAACGAGAACTATTCACTTCAATTGCTTCTTTTAATTGATTTAAATCATCATATGCATCATCCCAACGTTGCATTAAAATTTCAGATGCTAATTTACCCCATAAACATGACATCATATTTTTATCGTTACTTGGTACCTAAATGTTTATTTTTAATTATTACAATTAAATTCCGATTAGATGCTTACTAGAGCACGATAAAGACCTAAATTTGTAGCTGCTCGCGAATAATCGCCACAATCATAAACATAACGAGCGAATGTATAAAGAGCATCGACCATACTTCGTTCAATCTATTACATAAAATAATAATCAGTATTCAAGATTTATTATATAGGCAACTGAAAATGACTCATATAGATCCTTACTAACAGAAATACATACTAAGTATCATGAGTCAAGTATATGTTAATATAAGTAGATAGAGGATTTATAGACATGATAAATATCTGATATACTTGTCGTCATACAGTTACTCGTCAATATATTTGGATTTTCGATCTAATTTTCTAGTTATTTATTGCGACACTAGTTTTCATTTTTTTGGAAGCTGATTACCCAAGATACTATTGATAATTTCAGAACGTAGATTCTGTAAGGATAAAAATACAAGTCATTATATCAAGATTCACATGAAAACTGACACTCGAAATGATTATAAGTGAGCTTCGAGTTCCATTAGATATTAACACTACCGAAATCTAACTAAAAAGAATAATTAAAGAATTTCAACGCAATAATTCTTTTAACTTGATCTACATATGAAGACCGAAAATGCATTTAACAAAACTATTACAATTAATGAGAGATTTTCAATAGAATACTTACACCGTAGGTTTTTTGTAGGAAATTTAACGCTAGCATTGAATCGCTATTTCTAAATCAAATATAAAGAGTTTATGTTGTACTTCTCTGTAGAAATTTTGTTTTTGAAAGGTGATACCTTTGATGTTCAATATGACGAGCTGCATCTTCAGTAACAACAGCATCAAGTAATGGTTGAACAGCTTGAGAAAGTTCAGTAAAACGAGACACAATATCTTCACGCTTTTGAATTAATTCTAAAATATAGATAAGGTTATTTTTCTTTGAATTTTATTTCATAAACGGCAACCTTTGGGTTCTTCTCCGTCAATGTTAATTTTCTTATAGATGTCCAGTTGAAAATCAACCATTGTTGTATGTTGTAACAAATCATATTTGGCTTGAAGAATTTCTTTTTCATCAAAGATCTAAAGATAAAATAGTTTCAAAATATATTTTCATTGAATAATCGTATTACGTTTCGTTCAGTCAAAAACTCTAGTAATGGAAATACGAGATGACGATCGAAATAACGACCTAATTTTGCAGTTAAATCATATTCAGCCATCTACAAAAAAAAAGAAAAAAGAGAATAGTTGTACAAAAACCAAATTGAAAACAAAAGTTGTATAATAAAAACTAATGAAGACGGAATAGAAAACGCAAGTTTCTCTCATTGTTCATTTACAGGATGGCCAATCGTCAAATAGATGCTCCAATCAATTTATAAAGGATAATACAGAATTGAAATGATGAAAATAAAGAAAATTAAAAAAACAAAGCTAGATATTTATTCATCTATTATATTTAGTTATACTAATATGCATTTCTGGCTTATCATAGTCGAGCGACATCTACTCAAGAAATCTTGGCGGCTCGTAGTAAGTTGTCGTAAGTTTACCATAAAAGTCGTTATTATGCAGCTGTTCTGAAATTATATCGATCTATTTAAACAATCTGTATATGGTACATCTTTTCATTATAGCCGTTTCCTTATCCTGTTAGACATACAGCAGATAATTGGATTTCGTAAGGAAATAGTGCAAATAGACAGACTTCATCGGAAAGTAAGCGACTGTATCCTACCATATCGTACATGATCGGATTTCAAACTCATTAGACAAAATCCGACGGATCGATAATGATCTGGGTTAAATCACATGAGAAAAAGACAATCTTCAAATGTTTGAGAATTTAATTAAACACGTAATGTTGTCTTTGTAATTGTTAAAAATTGTAAATCAGACTTTCTAGAAAGATTCTTTCTCGTCGTCATAAAATTTCTTGGAGTTCTCTCAAATAAATAACACCATTGTGTCGTTTGAAGTGCTTCTTCCTTATCAATGTGAACAAACTCCTGTAAATATTTTCTACTGAAAAGCACTTGTACATCTTCGTTAGATTTGTTTTCTTAATATTCTTTTCTGTATTATGGATCGTGTAACTCACTTATTCTAGCATAAATTCAATATATAAATATTATAAATAGGTCTTCTCGATCTATTTACTTATAAAGGATTTTAAAAAAATTTCGTTTAATGCAGTACTCGTTGATATTCAATCTAAAGTTCAATTATAATGATCCCTTGTAAACATTACGAAATCAATTCATTTGTAATGACATAAGATCATATGCAGGAATCCAACATATTTGCCAATTTTTTTTCATACTGCTTTTAATATCTATGTCAAATTTTCGATCAGCTTCATCAAACGAACGAATAGTCAAAACAAAACTTTACATATACTCACCCAACTAGAGTACTGAGAAAATTTTCATTGAAAGCAACAGTGTCACGTACTCAACATATTGGGGCATGTTAGAGTTGCAAAGGGAGATGCGGGATACACAACAGTAAT